TATATATATATATATATATATATATATATATATATATATAGACAAGTTGGGTGGCATTGGTGAGTTGGGTTGAAACGGAAACAACTCACACCCAACAATCTTTATTTTCATTTTTTTTAATCTTTATTCTTAATTAACGAATAATTAAAGATAATGACATATAATTTATGAAACTAACTTTCAAAATTAATTAGTCAAAATCTTATCTCCCATAAAAATAAAATCTCCTATTTTATGTAGGCTTTTAATATATAATCATATTAATATTTGGATTTGAAATTTTAAAGTCCAACTTTAAAATTCAACTATTAATTTAGTAATTCCAATAATTACTTAATTAATATCTAAAGCCTAATTAATCAATCTAATTGATTAATTTGTTTTATTCCTTTAATTGACATCTAATAAAAATTAGATTTAATTAAATAATCAAATTATTTAATTATATTTTGTCAATTAATCTAACTATTGGAAATACCAATTCTAAAATTGCCATCATCCAAAATTTGGTGTGACCCTTTTAGGTTCACGATTAACACTAGTAGTGGGTTTACAACTCATTTGTAATTTAAATTAATATAATTAATTTATATTCTTGAAATTAACTCCATAATTTCAAGAACCCACAAATCATGGGAACACCTAGTAAGTAGCATGATTATCTAGTGTTAACTGAAATAGCGAGTAAACCTTTTCAATTGCAAGTGCATACATGTAAAATCCTTTCGACAACTAATTTCTCAATTAAATCTTGGGCATGGATTTATTATTCGAAACCCAATTGATTTAATAACTATGATTCCATTTCAAGTTTAGTGATTCCTTTATGAATCCATATTCATCTCGCCTTGGCCAAGGTCTTTGAATCATAAACTATGAAAAACATAAGAAATTCACTTATCCACATAAGTGTCGAATCTTTTGTTGGCCACAGATAAATCTCCATGCATATTAATACAGTACTCAAAATATCCCTTTTATGATTGTCCAACAATCAAAAGATAAATCAAAGTAAAGCACAACATGCACAAGATTACTATCGTACCTCAAGTCAGAGGATCAGTCATGTACTATTGTAACATGAAAATTCTTATTCGACAGTTAAAAACTTCCAGTTAAGAATTTTCATCGGGTCATGTTCAGTGAACTTGTTCTCCAACAAGCACCCGCATATATGCATTCGCGTCCACACGCTAATGTTGATAGAATGCAACATTCTCATCCGATGAGCATACATCATATGCACAAGTCTTACCGGATTATTCGATGTCCTGTGTCGAAATACCCATCGACTTGGAACTTATTTAAGATCACAACTTTAAAGACATGTTTCATGATTGCCATCAAAAGCGAACCATGCCTCATAGCTAATAATGATCTACGGACTTTCTCATATGTGCAAATATAAGATAAATGCAAAACATAAGATAAAGCTATGCCTAAAAATAATATAATTTCCAATAAATTGTCTTTAAAAGTAGAAATATATCTAATCAGATTGGAACGCCTGGTATTCTACTCTAACAACAAGAACGATTCGTCTTGGATTTAATTCTATTTTGGGATTAAATATGTGTCATTGATACATTGGGTCATTGTATTGTTTAGCCAAATTAAGTGATCAAATTATTGTACATTGGCTAGGGAACTTATAGATTGTGAAATGATTAAATGTAGAAAAACACATGTTGTATAAAAGTGCAAAAATAGAAAATACCATAGTCGATATTATTTTAAATTTTGAAAAATTTCTTTGTACACTACATTAATAGTTTTATTTACAATTTTTCCATCCTTATCGCAACACAGAATTTTCAAGTCACTCATACTTTTAACTCTAGATAATGCAACATAAAGTTGACCATGACTGAATACAAGATTAGGCAAGTACAATCCGACATTAGACAATGTCTGTCCTTGACTCTTATTAATAGTCCTTGCAAAACAAACCTGTTGATATCAAATCCAGTAATCAAGATTAAGGTACTAAAAGTCGGAATATATTATAGCAAATTACCGACTTGAGAATTGCCGATTTCCGAAGGATCAAACAACTTCAGACCGACTTTCAAAAAAGGGTAATAACCGACTTCCAATCAACCGACTACCATAAAGATTGAGCATTCCAACAGAAAGTAATCATTAGAAGCATCTGATTGGACCAACGAAACAAAAAGGCAATCATTGATGTTTCCCGCCGCCTCAAAGCAAAGCAGCTCAATATTAAATGCATCTCTATCCATTCCGAGGAAGAGGACAAAAGCCACCGTACTATAAATAGCAGAATTTATGATAGTACGAGGATCCTTTTTCGATCACATGGTACACGAACTTAAGATAAACTCGGTTTTCAGTTTAAAACCGACTTCTGTACTCTTGTGGACATAATCAATAAAATCCAATTTAACTTTTATCTTCATTCTTGAAACATCAACTGTGCTTAATTTTAAGTTGCTAAGTCAAGACAGCAACAGTTTGGCGCTAGAGGAAGGGGCGCGCCGGTCCCTT